ACGCTTCGTTATTTCACGCGGGATTAATCCGGCATTCGCTCGACTCGAATAAAACGGGAATTTTTTTCTTCTTCCCCCTTTTATTTTCTTTTCTCCTCTTTTGCACGGCGAGATCGCGAGACGAATGAAGCGAAGCGAAAGAGAGTGGAGGTCGCAAGATTCTTCGGATTGCTGCCTCTTTCTTTCCCGACTCGCCTCTCGAGTCTCCGCTACCAGCGGAGAATTTATTCCCCCGATTACTTCGCCTTCCTCGAACCGTCCTTGATTGTCCTCATCGCGGAAAAAGGAAAAACAATTGCAGCGCCCCGGTGTACGACGTCGTCTGCAATTTCGGCTTATCTTTCTAGATAAACTCCGCCATTAGCGAGAGTAGCGTGCCACGACGGAGGGGCTTTAATTAGGCTCACTCAATTATTTGAGCATTAAAGGAGCTTCCAGCGGGAACGAACGACATCGTGCCTCTGGAAACGTCTTTAACAAAAGCGAGTCGCGTTAAAACGTCATAACTATCGCAGGGATTACGGGGCGCAGACGGATCATTACGTCTATTAACGGGAATAATAATGCGGATTCACTCAGGGATTCGTTATCGTCGTCCACAACTCTCGATATGTTCCACGTGAATTCTATTATTAAATTTAGATCGTTAATCTCGGATTTAGATCGTTAAATTCCCCTCGAAATACCGCTGTTAAATTTCGTCCTTTCATCTCCGACGTTGCGAAGGAGAATATCGTAGAAATAAAATATATTATTTTTTCCTCTCTCTTTTCTTCCATTTCTTCCAGTGTTTGTCGTTCGCGAAGAAACCCGTATTTCTCACCACACCGGCGTTACTTTAAATTTCAATGTTCACCGACTTCTTTCGTCCAACTGCAAATCCCATCGGCTTCCGCTAGTTCTTTCAACGATTCTAACCCGGGTTGAATAAATAAAAAAGATAGACGCTTTCGTTTCCAATATAACCTATGCCTATGTAGAGGCCGGGTCTGAAGATGGAAAGATAGTTTTGTACGTCATTTTCTGCGCGAGCGGCCTGAACAGCGGAAAATCGGATTCCTCCGGCTCCATTTCGTGCGATCCAGCCGCGTAACGCGGGAAAAAATCGCGGGAACGAGAGAGCTGGAGGACGGATGGATAGATAGGCAGAGAAAAGGGTCGAGAGAGAGAGAAAGAGACTGAGAGAAAGGGGCAAAGGGTGAAAAAGGGGTGTATTGTGCGCACTCAAGCTGGTATAAAATACCCCGGAATTACTCGTCCACAAATCCGACGGAGTAAATTAAAAATTTCCCACTCGAATCTGTCGATTGCGCTCACCTTCGAACAATGCCCCTCTCCGTTTAATTCCGATCGAACAAAAACGGTATTAAATCGAAACATCAACCGACCCCTACTCTGATCTTTTGTTTCAACCGTAAACCCGCGCTCGCCATCGTCCATTTCTGATTATAGAAATTCATAATCTCACTGTAACTTGGTTGCAACATGCACCATGTTACCGGTTGGAACACGCGCCATGTTACCGGTTGGAACACGCGCCATGTTACTGATTGCATTATTTTTACGAAATCGTCCGCGCTTCTGGGGCTAACAAATCCGTTTCATCGTTCTATTAGGGCGCTATGATATTCCGTTTGCGATATTTCGATCTTTCTTCCCCTTTGTCCTTTATTATTTTTTCAGCAATCTGCTTTACCAATTCTTCCCTTACCGATGGAGATTCCACTTATGCAAATCCATTTTGTCGGTCCATTAAGGTCCTACGATATTCCGTTTACGATACTTAGGTTCTTGTCCCTCTTCCTTTTCGCGGCCATCTTTTTTCAATTTTTCTATTGTCGATAAACGCCGACTTTATTGCCCGACATGCACCGCATTTTAGGAAAATCCGTTTCCTATTAAACGCAACGCTGTTACCGTGAAAAATACTCTTTCATGTACGAAAATACCGCGTTTCGATATTGAAAAATAAAAATATAACACGCGGAACAGAGTGGAAAGACAGATGGCAAGCGAGAACGGAGGAAAAAGTTGAAAAATTAACTCGACGTAGCGAAATGGAACGAAAGCGATCCGGATACGTTATAATTCCACCCCCGATTCACCGTGACTGTTCGCCACCCTTGGATATAATATCGTTCGAGCTAATACGGCGGCCCGTGCATTGTCCTCGAGGTAATTAGGTCCACGCGGACGCTTAACGAAGTATCGCGTTCCGTTTCAGCTGTAATTATCGCGGAAGGTCGCGGCGCGAGCCGGTGGCTCGAACGGTTTTCATAATTTATATGTTTACACGGAAGAAAGTGAGACGGGGTGGCCGGGAGAAAGGGCGGCGACTCAATTATGAAGATGGCCGCGCTCTCTCGCGGCTTCCTGACGGTTAATTATTCAGAAATTGGCGACGAGCCACGCGTCTCGCCTCGCTACATCGAGCACCAGAGTACAACCCAGCCTCCGCTGCCGTCTACGCCGCCGGAAGTCGAAGGAATTCGCCGAAAAGGAATTCGCTAGGCACGATGAAATCGAACCCGGTCGGCCCCTCCCGCCAACTTTCCCTATTAATTACTTTACGCCACCTCTTACGTCGATTAATTAAAATTATGGGAAAAGTTCCGAAACACCTGTTACGTGTTTAGAATTATTTCTCCGCCGTTCAGCCGTCTCTTGGCTAATGAAATTCTTCGCCAACAACGAGCCCTTTCTCCTCGTACAATCGCGTGCGAGTTGACTGATTGCGCGTCGAATGGGGCGAGCGAAGGCGGTGTTCCGGTGAATTGATACGATGATCGATGTCCCGATTATTCCAAATTATTCCAAATTATTCCAAATTATTCGAGGTTATCCAGACGATGGATCGTTTTCCCGAGTGAAAGATATTTCCTATGATTCGCTATATTCGGTGTTTTGGAGAGGTGTAAGAATTTTATTTGAAGGAATTTTCGATATCATACGTCTTGCGATTTACTCGTGGATCACAGAAATCACTGGTTAAAAATTAGTCACCTAGATTAAGTCACGTACCTAGGCTGTTAGTCACCCCACCCTTAAGGGTTCCATTTGGATAGCCGCTACTGCTTAGTACAAGCTAGAGGATACATAAAGATATCCTTGCTCTTACAGCGGAGACAGAGTAAACGAATGTGTCGTACATCTAGCTTCCGTGACTTTTTATTTTATTAGAATGAGACATGCGACGCGACTCGTAGAGGGTGGCATTCTTCGTGAAAATATACGTTGTGGGGAATAAAAGTTTCTCGCTGGAAGCTTCGTTTCCGCGGATATGGGTTATAAAAATATCACTTTTACGCGTCTCGACGCAACAAGTTTCGATGACCGATCTAACTTTTATCGGTATTATTTTAATACGCGATACCTAAATTTGGTACACCGATCCAAAGGGCCAGTCGATACTTCGAATTCGTCTTTTTCCTCTGCAAGAGAATTTCATACACGCGTTTGCAGACGTAATTTGAAGATAATAAAACGTATCTCGTGGATCTACGTTCCACCGAAGTGAAAGTTGGCGGAAAAACAGCGTCGTCTCTTTACCTCCTCGCGGGAAAGATTTTCACAGGACACCCCGTTTATTACGGACACGGCAGCCTGTTATATTTTTGCACGGCGTAGCACCGCCACGGCGGATCCAATCTTAACTCTAAATTACACCTTAATGGCCGAGCATCCGTCCGGCGGGTCCCCGGGACGTTCCTCTAATTTGAGCAGATTATTAAAATCGCATCGCCGTGATCCTCGAAATGAAGGATCACCCCGGTAGGCGAGCGACGATGGAACTTTTCTCGTAAAATAAATCAGCCGGTCCCATCGCGGTAATTCGACGCAGCCGCCTCTGCCTTACCGGTAATATTGGATATTTTCTTAATGGTGAAACTTCCGTGGAAACCGACTCCTGTTCATCCTTATGAACTCTCTGATAAATCAGTACACCGGCCGCCTTTTCGACGCGCTGCTCCTCTTTTCACTCGAGCTCTATCTACCCGCTTATCTCTCGTCGCTTGCTTCTTCCCTCTTAATGTAAATTTGCCTCTTACATCTATGTTAAAATATCTTTATTAACCATTCGGAGCACGAATATTTGTATGACAAAGCGAAGAATTTGAAATAACCATGATACGTATGGGAAATAATACGTACTCTGATTAATTAAATTTATTGAGGGATTATAACGCAAAGGAATAGTAGTCAGGGAAAATGGTGGAAAAACTGTATAGATATTTATTAAACAGGCGAATGGTTAAAACTGTTCTGTTTAGGGCCACGCAAGTTACAAGATGTCTCCAAAAAACGGGAGACAAAGGACAACACGCAGGGGAAGGCACCCCCACATCGATAGGATGTAGAATTTACTTTACTATTTAGTTTTTACTACGACAAAATTTCGCGAAGGACGATGGAGAGTGGATATTTTAAAAGCTATTCAAACCGTGAGCAAGATCGATATTTCTAGACGAGGATTAAATTAATCTTCGTCCTGTTATACCTTATATTGCACCCTGAGATTAATCATCGTCTGCCGATGCGACGCGAAGCAAAGGAGTCTCGTGTAAAGAGTCCAGCCTACGTGATTTTTCTCATGCGAATCACCATCTCTCAATCTTGTTAACGATCATGGATCATGAACCCTCCACACCCCTTTCTTTGTCGCTGAATTATATAAAGGATTCTCCGAACACCCCGAGATTCAATTAATAAATTGCGTGTAAAAGTTGCACGTCCTATGACTACAAATGTGAAAATCCTTTTATCAGTCATTTTCCAGGACCCTATAAAACCTTGATAAAGTGCCAAGGGATTCTTGAACTTGCTCGAGAACTTTCCTTTCATGTCCCAACAAGCGATTAAATCTCGCGTCTCTCCTGATTTCTTTAATTTACCTAAAACCTTCAGTGTTCCATCGATGGAAACAGCATCGCGAATTCAATTTACGAATCACGTATCCGGACGTTAAAACTAACACGTGTTTCCTTTGTTGTTTGTTCTAGTCACTGCACGGACGACTTCATCGCCGTGTACTCCGGTCCAGCGATGTCGAGTCCTCTCCTGAAGATGCTGTGCGGCAAGGACAAAACGACACTGACGTACAGCGGCCAGAAAATGTTGGTCGAGTTCAGGTAAGGAAGAAAGGAACTTTGTCCTTTGAAACCTTCAGCGTCACGTAAAATTAAATTCGAACGTTCAATTTGACGCCTCAAAGATCTCGATTCCCTTTCGAATTCCATCAACGAACGAATTCTGCCAAGCATCGCCTGAAGAGACCGCTTCTTTTCTCAGATCGGGACCGGAAGTGCCGCCCTTCGACTACAACGGCTTCGTCGCGAGCCTTAATTTCATAGAAATCACCACAGAGGCTCCCACAACGGTTACCATGGACAGCGCAAATAGAAGTGGCAAGTATTTGCTATAGGAACACCGGCAAGCATCGTTCAACGAGACAAGTCAGACAAGGAAACCTTCGATCGAGTCATTATGCAGATCTCCGAGAAAGAAGACGAAGACTGACTCGTCCCATTGAACGATCCATAGATCAGGATTTCTCGACGAGGATCGTGTGAACCTCGGGAGACACAGCGCCAAAATTTTGCAGAAATATTTATACCGAGGATCTATCGATAGATTTATTTATTTTTTATAAGTTCAAATTTTTGAGGGACGCGAAGAAAACCATAAATTATAACCCATACAACACCTCACTAATCACGGTTCATTTTACACTATTGAACGATGGCAATAACGTAATACGATGTAGAATTTACTTTACTATTTAGTTTTTACTACGACAAAATTTCGCGAAGGACGATGGAGAGTGGATATTTTAAAAGCTATTCAAACCGTGAGCAAGATCGATATTTCTAGACGAGGATTAAATTAATCTTCGTCCTGTTATACCTTATATTGCACCCTGAGATTAATCATCGTCTGCCGATGCGACGCGAAGCAAAGGAGTCTCGTGTAAAGAGTCCAGCCTACGTGATTTTTCTCATGCGAATCACCATCTCTCAATCTTGTTAACGATCATGGATCATGAACCCTCCACACCCCTTTCTTTGTCGCTGAATTATATAAAGGATTCTCCGAACACCCCGAGATTCAATTAATAAATTGCGTGTAAAAGTTGCACGTCCTATGACTACAAATGTGAAAATCCTTTTATCAGTCATTTTCCAGGACCCTATAAAACCTTGATAAAGTGCCAAGGGATTCTTGAACTTGCTCGAGAACTTTCCTTTCATGTCCCAACAAGCGATTAAATCTCGCGTCTCTCCTGATTTCTTTAATTTACCTAAAACCTTCAGTGTTCCATCGATGGAAACAGCATCGCGAATTCAATTTACGAATCACGTATCCGGACGTTAAAACTAACACGTGTTTCCTTTGTTGTTTGTTCTAGTCACTGCACGGACGACTTCATCGCCGTGTACTCCGGTCCAGCGATGTCGAGTCCTCTCCTGAAGATGCTGTGCGGCAAGGACAAAACGACACTGACGTACAGCGGCCAGAAAATGTTGGTCGAGTTCAGGTAAGGAAGAAAGGAACTTTGTCCTTTGAAACCTTCAGCGTCACGTAAAATTAAATTCGAACGTTCAATTTGACGCCTCAAAGATCTCGATTCCCTTTCGAATTCCATCAACGAACGAATTCTGCCAAGCATCGCCTGAAGAGACCGCTTCTTTTCTCAGATCGGGACCGGAAGTGCCGCCCTTCGACTACAACGGCTTCGTCGCGAGCCTTAATTTCATAGAAATCACCACAGAGGCTCCCACAACGGTTACCATGGACAGCGCAAATAGAAGTGGCAAGTATTTGCTATAGGAACACCGGCAAGCATCGTTCAACGAGACAAGTCAGACAAGGAAACCTTCGATCGAGTCATTATGCAGATCTCCGAGAAAGAAGACGAAGACTGACTCGTCCCATTGAACGATCCATAGATCAGGATTTCTCGACGAGGATCGTGTGAACCTCGGGAGACACAGCGCCAAAATTTTGCAGAAATATTTATACCGAGGATCTATCGATAGATTTATTTATTTTTTATAAGTTCAAATTTTTGAGGGACGCGAAGAAAACCATAAATTATAACCCATACAACACCTCACTAATCACGGTTCATTTTACACTATTGAACGATGGCAATAACGTAATACGAGTAATGTTAACACGTTGGCTGCCACGATGGTTACCATTGACCCACGCTACTAATTTTAAAAATTCGATATTTATTTTACCTTAACCATTTTTTAAATATTAACCCTTTGCACTCGGCGACTCTTTAGATACAGAAAAATAGTAATTCGAAGATTTTCTGTCATAAAATCGAGGATATTTTTAAAACGATAAATAAGAAACGTTTGCAAATTAAGACGTGCAATTATTTTACCTCGACATTCCACGCATTGAGTAATTTTACATTTGATATATTGTGGTATCGCAGGATAAACGGGTTATCTAGAGTGCGTGCGAAAGGATGAATGATCGTGCGCTAGGATCGTGTGAACGGGATGTTTATGAATGTATCGAGTGGCTTTAGGAACGCGTTTGAGTGTTTGGGCTAAGTGACCCGCTGAGGGTAAGATGGCAAGGAGTGCGCGGGAAAGTGTGATTGGAAAGAGAGAATAGGTATGAAAGAGGATAGAATGGATGGTTTTAAATAGGAATGCAAGGGCGTGAGTGGGCACAGAGAGAGAAAGAGAGGGTATGGAGTCGGTCGCGGTACGTGTAGTATAGGAGAGTTCAGAGAGAGAGTTGTGAAAAAGGTGTATTAGTGTTGCGAAGTATAAACGTGTTGTTAGGATTAATAGTTTTAGTATTATTCGTGTTGTGTCCCCACCCTATCTCTACAATATTAATTAACATCGGTCTTTAGAATGTGATGAAATGGCGACTGAGAGGTGCCTCTCGAGTGCAAAGGGTTAATAAATAGTCTGCAATTTTTATTCTGTTTTTTCGTCGTATCGTTTTATAATTCATTGTATCTCAGCAATAATGGAAATCGTATCGTGGCAGCCAACGTGTCAAAGATAGTTGCAGATTCGGTCGATTATATCTCCATTCGTTAGGTCAACGTTTATCTTAATCTCGTTATCATACGATTTGCTGTAACGCGCGTACGAAAAGAAATGTACAACTTTCGACTGGAATAATCACGACCGGGCGGTTAAATCTGATTTAACAATCGTCGCGGGAAAAACCAGGCCCGATGGAGCGGTTCGTTCGTTAGAGCCTCCGTTCCACGGGGACACTGAATCGTTCTGAAAAATCCGCGGCTACGCCTGGTCGGAGATAATTAATTCCAATTCTCGCTTTTATTCGATCGAATTATAACCTAGCGAAACTGGGTCGTTCTTGTTTGAACAGCGATTTTAACGACTTCGAATATCTCCATATTTCCCAACCTTCCCTATCCACGACTTGCCGTTCCGTGTACCTAATATTAATTAAATTTCGCGTTCTCAGTGGACACGACCAAGTCGATCAACGGGGCCGGGTACAACGTGCGCTCCAGCAATCGGGATCTTCAGGACCATCGAAAAGATCAGGGCTCGTCCAGCGGCTGCGACCTGGAGGTGAACGGCGAGAAAGTCAGAGCTGGCCACCACGATACCAGAGGCAAGCTCAAGTCCACCACGTGCCGACTCGTGCTTCGTGGACGTGATTATGACACTGGACACGTCTCGTTGGCCAGTTACAATCTCAGGTAACGCGGAGACCTCGCAGACCGCGCACGGCTTTTAACTTTTTACGTGGCCCTGTATTTATGTGGGCCGCCTGCGGGTGGTGAGTTATGTTTGCCGAGCGATTTATACGCAGCACGTGATCGGATAATTTCGTTAGAATTTTCGGCCGCGAAGATTTTTTTCACCAGCTACCGCGCCGCTGGAAATAACCATTCGCCGAGATCCACCGATACCGTTGAATTATTAATGCAAAGAACGATCGTGCGGCTGCATTTTTCGATCGCCTGCGATTACGCGTGACGCGAATATGCCGAACGAATTTGTCGCGTGTAATTGGTATTTTTTATTCCCACCCTGTTGCGGCGGATAAGCGATTCCCGTCGGATCAACGAGGCAAATTCGCGGGGTCGATAAGGAAAGCGATACGATTTGCAGATCAATGTAAACGATATTAATCGACGAGCTCGAATAAGATTACGTTCGGTTGACTAAAGGTTTACCATTATCCGCGTAAATAACATCAGCTCCGAGCACATTATTCATATCGTTATCGACCGTGTACGTGAAATAATTATCGAACAACGTTCGCTTAAATAAACATTTATTCCCTGGTAACCGTTGCTTTTGTCGATAAAATTTTCATCTCCGCGCATATTTCGCGAATCTGCAACCCGTTGGATACAAAAAGAAGGATAAATAAATAAAAAGGAAGCGAAATGAAAATTATTCACGTCAAAGGCATTAATACACTGTGCCGCGCGAAATACGAAATGGTCGGGCACGTTCGCGTAGAGCGGTATTATCAAAAAATCAACCCCGATAAAACAGCCATTCCGACAGTTCTCGAATTCGCTTCTTATTTCTCGCGCTTCCGCTGCAAAATGGCGAGAAGCGCGATCCCTCGACGCGATGCGGGGAATCTTGGACACGGCATTAAGGCTGCCACCGAGTTCGAGCACGAGGACGAAGGCAGAGAAGTCTGCTAGGAAATGCAGTCACGTAGAGAACCGTGTGCCACCGCGGCGTGGCCGGAATTGCATTTCATTTGTTTACCCTTTTCGCGGAGCCGTCGTCGAGGGTCCTCCGGAACGAGCGGATTCGGCTCGCGTTAGCAGCCGTGCCTGGTACCCATCGTGCAACCGATCGATCCATCGATCGCTCGCGCGAAAATCGAACGGCAAGTTGCCTCGCTGGTCACTGACCGACACTTCGATTTAATTACCCGTCTCTCGAGCGAAGAAGCTCGTTCAGCGGGATGCGATGTATTAAGTAACGTTCGAGTTAATAATCGATACCGCTTCCACGGTGTAGCATTCGAAAAATGCAGCCCGATGAACAGCTCGACCGGAATCCGCGAGGCTAGGATCGAGATCTGTCTTTTCATATTTTATCAACGAGTCTTGGGGATAATTCTCATGGTGATTTTATGGTTACGACATTCGATTCGCAATTTAAACCTTTGCACTCGAGAGGTGTGACTCTCAGTCACCATTTGATCAGATTCTAAAGGTCGACGTTAATTCATATATCAAATTTAAAATTACATAACGATGTGTGAAATGTCGAAGACAAATTATTCTATGTCTTAATTTGCATATGATTCCTCATTTACCGTTTTAAAAGTATCGTCGACTCTATGACAGAAAGTCTTCGAATTACTATTTTTCTGTAACGAAAAAGTCGTCGAGTGCAAAGGGTTAATTAATCGGTGCAGCGGGAATAGAGCTTTTATTTTTCTTACTGATATTTATTATGTTAATTAAAATACAGCTCACTGCGCGACTTTCTCTCTTACGGAACTCTCATTAGCAGTCTTATGACACTCTCTTACGACACTCCTCTTATGACTCTCTTCTAACACTCTTCAGTTAATCCCTTGACATCCCTTTTTATACCCACGTACACCACATACTCGTACTATACACTGTTAAACGTCTAAAAATTCCACGTGTATTTTAGAAAATCGTAAATTCTTATCGCACTACTGATAGTCTGGCCTAATCATCCTCTTCATCCACTATCGTTCCAAACTCTCATCGATCACTCGGTCTACTATCACTAATACCGCAATAGTTTCTTTCGGATCAGGTTGTTTTATAAAAATCGGTCGGATATCTCTTTTATTCTACAAAATTCGAATATAAACGCATCTGCGTATATTCCGCGAACGAAATAGAATCGTGTTAATACGAGATAAAGGAAGTTTCACATAAAACCGGAACCGTGTTAACACGAGTCGACTATGTTTACGAGATTCAGAGAAGCATTGAATGCGTTGTGTTAGTTAAGAAACACGTATTCGTACGCAGTGTGGCATATGGAGGGGTTGTTTCAATCACCATCTGTTTACATAATCCCGAATGTTAAATTACCAGCCACTCGTTAATTCGAGTCAAAATTAATATCGTTAATAAAGGCAGAACGGCACACGGTTTGCATACAAGTTTCGGAAGGAGTATAATTTAATTTCGTCCATGATGTAAACGATTAATCAACTTCGTTTCGTCAAGTAACCTTAATTTACTCCCCTTCCGAATATATTACATGTAAACGGTAACGCATACAACCCCTCAATTTTACCAAACTACGAAATATTCGTGTCCAAACTCGGAAATTTTACATATACAGGTTGTCCCATTTGAAATCTCTATATTTCCTAAACTATAGTTCGTTTCAAAAAATGTTTCAAATGAAACTTACCCTGTTTCTTTCATAATGGTGATAAATTTCTGCCAGATTCACGCGTTTCCGATATTCCAAGGTGACCTTGGTTCTTCTTAATGAAGCTGTGGGGATTATTTTAATTTAAATCCCACGTGTTAGATTAGGGAGCAGTAAAGAAACTCCTTTTGCACTAATTCATATTTTCTCAGAATCATACTTATTTTATTACAATCCCACGAAATTGTGCAAGTGGGTGGAGTGAAAAGAATATTTGATGGTATCGATTGCTAACAAAGAGCGAGTCTAGGAACGCACTCGATGATTTGGGGTACACGGTTCATGGGGGCGAGATTGCATGTCCGAGGACGAGAGAATAACTTTGCAAGAGGAGAAAATTCGAGGTTGTAAGAAGGGTGTTAAGATGCGAGAAAGGGTAGTGCAAAATATCGAGTGTTAAAATGCGGACACGTGAGAGCTAAAATCTTTTTACGTTGCAATTATATCATCATTACAACTAGAATTCTCCTGCGTTTTTACTTTCTGCATCTTCCTAACCTCGTCCCATAAGCATTTGGGATTTAAATATCGGGGTGCATTCATTCGCCTAAGATTCTTTGCTCTTTGAAGGTCGTTCGTTATTTAACATCGTTTAACACTAGAACTACCGATCTTTAATGGGTTCCTAAGTATAACGTACACAGATTATAATAATTTCAGTGATACGATGAATACGAGTGAATATATTGATTACATTTCTTTCTTAATACGAATTGATACCAATTTTATTCTTAAAGCAGGTGTATGTGTTGGGTGATTGCAAAAAGGAAAATTCTGAGACCAGTCATTTTTACTGGGTTGGTAGTTCTAGTGTTAAACTTTACCCCTGTCGTACTCTCAGAAATTGTTCTTCATCCCCACAATCACCTTTGTGTTCGAGAAACCCTAAACGGTACAAGGTCATAAAAATTCCCCTTACCTCGAAAAGCAACCCTACACACCTCATTCATCTCCATCCCCGACCATGATCGCGGTCTCACGCGTTCGAATGGCGCCGAAACGTAATTCGAACGATCCGTCTTAATCTCTCGTCAGACACGGCTTGCTGGAAAGCCCGAAACCCGAAGAATCTCGTTTTCCGTTTGCTCGTATCAATCAGCATAACTCATCGGAGCTGTGCCAACGCGTAGGGGCGCTTGCCACCCCCTGTTTCCCGGCCGCCGTCCTCTCGGAAGTAATAGATACGAAGTAGTAGTAAATCACACGGGAATGCGGCTGGCTCGTATCCCTGGGATTTTCAATTATCATGCACAATGGCTGCAACGCGCGCGCGGACCATGCATTCGTGGCTTCGTAGATATGTTCCCGTAAGAGATGGAACACGCGCTCGGCCGGGTTGAAAGCCCTCCACCTCGTCTTCCCAGGCCGAAACCGGGGCGAACCGTAGCCAAGGAGCGAACGTAACCCCGTGGCTCCTCAGACGGTAGATATATAACCGGGAATAAACTAAGAGAAGACACGCATACCGTCGCGCATCGAGAGAAACGCGGACAGGGTGAGAGGCTGCGAGCTCGAGACGAAGGGTTTATCGGGGGTGGCATAAATTTTCAACGGAATATCGCGAATCCTTGAAAGGTGAGGGAGGCGTCCTTTCGCGTATAGGGTCAAGTGATCAAACGTTTTCATTTTTAAATCTCCTCCCCTGTGTCCCTTATTTCTCTCGTGCTTTTTTAATAATATATATCGCGTAACTCGCAAGGGTTGATTTACCATTTTCCGTCGAATCGCGTTTGTATCTTGGTTCGAGTGAAACGTTATCGGATATTGAACGTACCTCGTTACGTTAAATTTTCGTTATCGAGTACAATTGTTATCTCGGGGATATAATAAGACAATTTCTGTGAAATTTCCTGTGTTATTCGGGTATATATTCTTATACTTTACGTTTGCTGCGTGATTTGTTAGATTCGAGGAAATCGATTCCGAGCTTATTCTTAGTGTATAACGCAACGAAGATTGCGGTACACGCGTAATCGGATCCGGTGCCTGGCGTACGCGAAATAGTAAGTTCAGAGGTCGTGATTACCGATAGACGACGCGAGGGATGCGGCGGATCCACGATGGTAAGACAGTCGTGGAACTTGAGATGGAAACTGAAAATTTATTCGAAAGAGCTTTGGAACTATAAGCGAAGTTTCGATCGAGGAATTCAAAACGCCAAAACGTTGTTCCCATACCCGTCAAGAATATCCGTCGCGGTTTACTAATTGTTATTTCATCGCGGAACATCCGTTTTTCTATCTCTCATTCGGCGACAAATCGCTGACAAGGTTTTTAAAAAGTTTTACAAATTCATGGAAAACTTGCGAACGGTAAAATGAAAACTTCGAATATACACCGGATTAATGTCGACTTTGCGCGGCTTTCATAATTTATATCCGCCACTGACGAATCCGCTGGAATCCATATTCCACTGGAATTTTATCGGTTGACCTTTTTCCATCGACGCTCGTCCCTCAAATATTCATTCGTCGGAAAGTAGGTGCGGGACACGGAAATTTTTAACAACTCTCACCCCCCACCACCGATTTCCACGAGCTGCATTATTTAATCGTGATCGATAGACACCCGCTTCGCCATCTTCTGACCAGGCTCCCTTAGCGCTATTGTTATTTACCCTGCTCAACGAGCGAAAGAATAAATCCAGAGGGCGTAATTAAGTTGTTAAAAATTTTTACCCGAACGAGCACAGATTCGTCGGGGTTCATTCGTCCGTGGAAAATGGGTTCTTATTCGAAAGCCTTCTAAAGAACCTGTTAACGTTCCTCTCGATCGCGCTCCTTTCGTCGAATAATCGAAATTTACCCGTAATACGGGAACTACGTTGCGTTTCTCGTCGTTTTTAATTACGAATTCCCGCTTACTACGAAGAATAAAGTTGCCTGCGAAGGATGCAACAAAGGGAGTAACAGAAATAACGCGATTTTCCGTGTTCCAGCGCCCAGGACTGCCAATCGTCGATCGAAATATTCGACGGCCAGCCGGAAGGAGGGATGCTTGGCAGCGCGAAATCCCTAGAGAGAATCTGCAGTCCTGCGCAGAGGCTTCCGCCGGAATTCGTGCAACAAGATACGTAAGTGGATTCTCCAGTTATTAGACGAGAAATACCGACGTCGTCTACAGTGCGCGGCTTATTACTCGGATACTGTACTAAGAAGTCCTTGGGATTCCGTTCGATTCACGACGCGAAATGCAAACCACCCGTGCCATCCGCCGGTGAATCGACACACGGCTCGTTGAACTTGCCAAATTAATCCCGAGAACTCGTCCGTTGATCGGCAACCTTCGCCTCGCATTCTCTCGTGGAAACGTATCGCGAGTCATCGGCTAAGAAAATTCGCTTCTTACCAATCACAAATCCAAGTATCGTGCTTTTCTCGATGTCGTTAACTATTAAAACTTCCATGTCGAAAATTCCACTGACTCGTCGACTATCAATTCCACGAGAGCCTCGCGTGAAATCCGTCGAGACTTCGTAACTGTAGCAATAACCGAGGAACGCGGCGGAAGCTTGCAAGGTAATCCCGCTGCTCTCCCGACGTGTTTTCCAAACCATAAACTATCACCGGTAACCTACTTTAACGCACTCGATACTCGAAAACATGAAAACCAGGCATTCGCCTTACCAGTAGTCCCCGAGTTCGATTCAGCGTCCCCGGACGAACAGCGATCGAACGCGTTCAACGAGCGCCGTACGGTTGCTCGGATGAATAGAAGGCCGGGACTACGGTTTCCTGGCGTTTCCTTTGCCTCTGTTCGATCTAATCAGAGTGACGCGGAGCACCGGCGGAGCGAGCAGCCCGACGATAACGGGCCAGGGCGTTTCCAATCTGAAAAAAGAACGGGAAAGGGGAAAGAAAAATCGGGAAAAAGGGGAGGAAAGAGAGAAACGGAAGAGTGGATCGGCCGACGACCAGTGGTCGATTTCCGGCGTGTACGACGAGGCATCGAAGGGCATAGAGGTACGCAATGGGGAAACAGCAACGACCTATTCGTCATTGGCGCATCCGGTCGGGAGAACGAGACACGGGTCTGCCGCTCATCTCGTCGGAAGTCGAGGATGAAAGATGACTCTGACGCCACGCGACGTTTACGCAGAGTACACTGTGGTTTCGATGAAAGATATTACCGAGGAGAGGGACCACTATCCTGACCGGATGTCGCGTTGCGCCATATCGAATAGCGGAACGCGGTTCTTTTAACGACCTCGCGGAAAAATTCGACGCTGATCGATCAGTGGGTGATAACGCGATGTCGTCATGGATGGGGAAAAAGCTCCAGGGTGGGTATCGCTCCAGACGAATTCCTTCCTTGTCTCTCGGCGCAGCCGGAATTTGAATATCAGCCCTGGGCGCGATTTATACGACGCCGCGTGCTTTATTGCGGATTTTTTCCCCCGATATCCTTTGCCGCGCTAACGTTTCGTCGAAGCGGTATCTGGTGTCGTAATTTCGACGCGTAAGGTCGTTCCGCGGAAACGGAATTTTGGAGAATTATTACCGGCAGGCGAACGTTGCCGGGAGAGAGATATCAGACGGGGTGAGCGATGGCGACATCGGTGAAATTCTACCCTGGGATACCTTTAACTGTCGTGTAACGCGCGCGCGTAACTCGTGCCCTTGTCAGTGGGGACGCGTGTACGAAGCGAGTGGAGTAGGTACGCGTGTGGTCGGACGCGCAGCGCGTGAGCTAGCTCGGGGAAGTAGGATCTTTGCTGCCGCCGTTTTCCAAGTAGTAGAAAATTAGCCGCTCGTCGTAGTAATTAGCGCAGCTTCGAAGATTGATACTTCGACGGTGTAACGATTTCTCGAATAGTTTCCAGGACTTTCCAAGATGGAGTCCGCGGGGAACTTCGCGGTGATTGAATTTAAAGTGCGAGCGAACCGGATATGTAGTCGAGGCTTCGAATTTGGGGAATTTAGCCGGCAGAAAAATTAGAATTAACGTTCGAGCTATGCATGATCTCGAGTTTCGATTGAAAGAGTATTAATTGACAAATTCGATTTGAACGCCGATAACCCATAGAAGTGGAGGCGATTTCAATTAAATAAAAAGAAATGAAAATTAAATGGAGAATATTGTAGTATCGCAGGATAATAAGCTTAGGTTTAGCTGGAGCGTATTATCTGCAGTGATTGCCGAAGGATGAATGACCGTGCGCTAGGATCGTGTAGACGGGATGTTTAGAGATGTATCAGTTGCAAGTGAGGAGTGTCTCTAGGAGTGCGACTAAGTGTTTGGGCTAGGCTGTAAGGAGTGCGTGGGAAAAGCGTGATTGGGAAAGAGAGCATGGGTATGAAATAGGATAGATTGTATGGTTTTAAATAAGGGTGCATGAGCGTGAAGCGAACAGTTTTTAGGAACAGTTCTTGGGAAGAGTGATTGGAAGAGAATTGTATTTTAGTTGCAACGGGCTGAGTTGTAATTGTGTTGTTAAGTTGTAGTTGTAGGCGATCTATCTATATTCGTAGGCTTAATCGTCGCCACATATTGTATTATTATTTTATTACTAATAAATAGTTAGTGTTATTTAACCACCACCCATGTCTCTATAATATTAATATCGTAAATATTTAGCGTGTCTAGGGAACAAGGAGGGTCGGAATGAGACATCGAAATGAAATTAGTATTTGACGTATTAAAACGTGACGTTCGAGGAGGGTCTCACCCTCGAAGCAAGCTACCCGTTCGATTTTAATCAGATAAACGTCAAAGTGGCTCGGTAAAGAATCACGCGGCCTAGAATGGACGTATCTCCGGGTGAAAAACGTGACGGGAAACCCGGCACGAGAAAGACTTTCCCCCGCACATATTGATCAGCGTCGGGGAGAAGGCGAGCGAAGGAAGGGGCGGAGAAGGGGCGCGATCTGAATAGGTTACATTCCAAATCCTTTCGACCGCGATCGATGTTCACCCTCCGCAATCCGGAGAATCGTTCGTCCACGGACGAGCCGTTGGTCCAGAAGCTGGACCCGAAGGATCTAATTGCGAGATACGAAGCGACTGGAATTCCAGCGTGAACGTAAACAACGCGGTTAATGCTGTGTCTGGCTGGTCCAGTTCAACCCTAATGTACTGCCCGAATTCCTGGTCTATAAGGTTAGCAAAAAGGGAAATACGAGATTCTTCTTCTTTCTCACATTGGATCTTCGAGTCTCTGACTTTGGTTCCCTGCGCGACTTTGATCCGTTATTTTCGATTGGTCGAGCATTTTAGATGGCGATGGACAGTATTTTGTGATACCCTCGACAGTATAGCGGTAGTTCGCGTATGAAGGCAACGAGGTCTGTGTTTAATTCGATCAGCATCGTTAGAACCACTTCAAGGGACATTTAGGAAGACCGCGCGTATCACGAATTTCCAGCTTCGACCAGTCTCCTGTCCAAAATCGGAAATATTCTCGGATGCTTGGAAGACATGGACAGTTTTAAACTGTAAAACAGAAAACGCAATCCGCTTTTTTCTCGGCTATTAACACTAGAACTACCATCCCAGTAAAAATGACTGGTTCCAGAATTTTCCTTTCTGCAAGCACCGAACACATACACTTGCTTTGAGAATAAAATTGGTATCAACTCATATTAAGAAAGAACTGTAATCATTATATTCACTCGTATTCATCGTATCGCTGAAATTATTATAATTTGTGCACGTTATAGTTAGGTACCCATTAAAGATCGATAGTTCTAGTGTTAATGTAGTAACTATATATATATTATTAAAAGAAAGGGGTTGATTGCACAGTGATGAGTATACATGTATATATAAAAAGGAAAAACAGCTCTGAACAAGTCCCCTAACGACTTCCCCTAACCTCTCTGCTGGAATGCTGAAGACATAAGTCGAGATATCTTACATATAACGTCGATGTTAAAATGTTTTTGATTATTACATACTAATGTATGATTGTGTACGTGTCGGTCGCCAGCCAAATTCCTTTGTTCAAACGAATCAATCTCTAAGCAATCGTTGTACAGTACTCACCGATCGAGTTACCAATTATTAAAGCATTACCTTTCTATAATTAATGTTCCTTCCTTTTTATCTCCACTGTCATCCCAAATTCTATCGTTCTCACTACCGTACTCTACGCAACACTGCCTTTACGAAAAAATCGTCCCTCGTTTCCTCTAATTTTTCTCTTAAAACACCTCTCACCCCTTGAGTCCCCGAAAATATCGCCTTCCCATCGGTGGACAGTCTTTCATCTTGTCTTCTCGCTTTCGTTTCTTCCCACTTTCACGCCCCTTTTTCATCTAGTGTCCTTACATCTACGATACCGCATTAATTTATTCAAAAACCCGCGATGACATCCCACGGGTTAAATGCTAATCCTTCGCGTAATTTAGGACGCGAATGAAATCGCGTTCTGGGCAAATCTAATTCCGGAATATCGCGCGTCCCTAGACCACGCTTCTCTCCGTTAATTACCCCTGGCTAATCGTCGAATTACTTTCCAAACGAGGATGTACCGACGCAAAGATCAAGCCTGGTCCCAAAAGATTCGAAAATCCAGCTCGCAGTCGGTAAGCCGGCGTGCTGGAAACTAGCCCGAAATGCTGGATAGAACAGCAGTAATTAAGCCAGAAAGATGAACGAAGGGAGGCCGATATCTCGAGGTCTCGCGAGACGAGCCCGGTCGGCCAGCCGTGGAAAGAGCACGACGTACGAGGGCCAACGCGGCAAACAAAGTATCGCAAGCTCTCTCCTGAGAGAGAGAGAGAGAGAGGGGCAGGTAGAGGTAAGTGCAAAAGGGAATGGCGCGGAGTGCACGGATGCTGCACATGCATTATGCAAGCGGCGGGAAACAGACGGACGCGAAATGTCCATGGGCTTCCACGCGACGATACCTTGGGACGAAAAACCGGCTGCTGACCGTGGCTCAGGACGGCTGATCATTTCCCACACGTATTTTACTCCGTGCAACTTTTTCGCCTCGATGACAAGCGTGCTTTTTTATCCCTGTTAGTCTCTTGCACTCGCTGTATTTTCCGTTTCGTAGAAAATGGCGTTGTAATCATGCGAGTGCGTAGGAGGTGGATAAATATCGTGGTCTGGTTGATCGTTGGATGA